TACAACTACTTTGTTTGAGACCGTTTGTTTCTGTAAACCTACTTACTGTAAACCTTATGTTAGTAAAAGCTTCTCAAGGTTATATTTAAACATTTTTGGAATAGATTTGTGAACATCTGATTTAATTAGTCTGTTCCATATTTAATAAGTTCCCCGGGTCTTGCCGTTCTTCCAGTTTTTAACGAGGGGACTGCTTTTTTCACAACTGACAGTTATTAATATTGCTGATCCTTGCGCAGTTATATTTGTGTCACTATTATCTGTGTTTTGAAACTTCTTTCTATCTTTTGTCAACATTTTTTCGAAATATTGATTTATATATCATACCCTACATGTTTTACTTCACGTTCTAAAGGAATGAACGTTTTGGGTGTCGCTTATTATAACATAGTGCTTCTCGTGACAAATCGAAATATGCTTAAAAGGTTCCAATACATCTCTAGCTTTAACTTAGAATGAAATATTAAAATCATTTAGATTATAACCATAACACATATTAATGAATGATATAAACCATAATAACGCAAATAACTTATCTCAAAGACTAGAGGGAATTCGATAAATCGGAAATATTTGTATTTATTAAATCTCTGATGAGTATGATCTTTCCCACTTAATATCGTTCTCGATAACATTATCACTCTTCAAATATTTTATGAATAAAGTATTAGTGTTTACATATTAATCTGATGAGTTGCCGACATCAAGTTATTTTTACTGTGTAAATATTAACAATATACTTTACAGATTTATTAAATCCTAAGCTGTTTTATAAAAAAAACTTTAAGATGAATCACGCCATCTTATTGTTAGTATATTTACAATAACCCAGTTGGTGTAAACTGGATTATGATCCTGAAAAAAAAAATTACACGGGTCGTTGAATGTCCAAATTAGCGAAGATGGGGAGAAAATCCGCTTAGCATTAGCTACCTCTGCATTCAACAATCGAATTACGTCGTCCCTTTTCCCAAGTATTAATTAAATGATCGAAGTGACATCCACTAGGTCTGGCATGTAAGTGTGTGAGTCGTAAGCTTAGCACTGGAGAAGAACAGGTATAAAGGAGGAACATAGCAGATGTTCGCAGGAAGTGCATTAATGGTAGACAGCGAATTAGGAGAGGAAACCGTACATCAAAGAGGACTGCACATCGGATGTGGCCGCGTGATGTTGTAAGTGTTTTCACCGGAGACTGTCGTTTTTAAATGATACCACAGTTATTCCATCAACTATTTAAGAAAATATATTTGTCATTTAAATGAAATTTAAAAATAAACAATTATTTAAAGATAAAATAAAATCAATACAAATTCTAAAAGATATTTTTATAATTTGAGTAAAATCTAAAATGCCAATAAACCAAAGAATTTCCTTAAAGCGGGTAATTACGTTGTATAACGATGAAAACTGAATAGATTTACATGTAAGTTCAGGAAATCATTTCACTTCGATGTAGAAAGAAGATAGTCAAACAAGCACATATTTTTAAATGTAAACTACCTTAATCTTCTTTGGTGCTATTAACTTTGATAATTTCGAAACCCGCATCTTATATGTATGCAACTATTTCAAATGGATAAAAATAGAATCACGCAACGTGTTAGTTCTGAATTGAACCGATTAATATTTAAAAACTGGATATCTTGTATTTAAGCGAATAGGACGTGTAGATAGTTGTAATACGAAAGACGATTTCTCTCTTACGCTTCGCTTGGGTAATTTTGATCTGTCGAAAGGGAGTGGAAGGTACAAAGAAACACCTGCCACGGCAGATGTTCCAGTCGTCCTCTCAGTCTTCTACGGCCAGAAACGAAGAAAACAGGTTCTTCCAGAGCCGAAAGCCGCAATTAAAATAAGTTAAATTGGACAGTGAGATTTTTGGGAATGATAAACTGCACTGGTATGAAAGTATACCTGGTTTAAGATTGTATGATTTAAATGGGCAATCCTTCACCTACATATTCAAAAAAGTATTGTAAAATATGATTTATATATTTTTTGTAAATTCGTAACGTTTTTAACAAAACATTTTCCAAATTGAATTAATGTTATAAACTGATCGTAACCGGTGACGTAGAAATGAAATGTAATTTAGATAAAATTGTACAAAGGTAAAAACTCGTTGGTTGGTTCGTTAAAATTAAAATCTGAGTCGATAGGCGATGTTCTTCCAGTTTTCAAGACCACGTATGAATCAATTTTTACAGTATGTAACTGGTCTGGTGGCTTCGAGATTTCTTCACCGGGGACCAGATTTTAATGGTGAACTGGGGTGCCACGAGTAACCTTGACAGCATCCTGCGGTGAATGTATTTCTAATTTATTAACGTCACAGATCGAGTGTATCCGTCTGAAACCTTCGGTGTTGTTAGCGTTTTCCTGCAGATAAGGCGGAAGTTGCCCCCGCAGGATGTCGCAAACTCAGCACAGGATTCATCATTTTCACTCACGATGTTGTTGTAGCTCAAAGTGGATTACATAAAATACGTTATTTATGATGATTCTAATTCATTGTGTATAACTAATCGACCTTAACTAACCTCCTCAACGTTTAAGTATATTTCTTAGAACACTGTTGGCTGCTAAGAAGTGCGCAAAAACGATGAGGAAATAGACAGAGAAGGCAGATAATATACGATTGGTTCGTTTTGTCGGAGAATGCCGGATTAACGGAACATCAAAGACAATGTTTTTAAATACAAAGTAGCAAAGCCGCGTGGAAAGTAAATACTAATTGTAAGGTTACTCGCATTTACATAAGAATGCTAGTTACACCAACAAGTAAGACAAGGAAATTTGAAATGCTTTAGCTGTTTACGTAAAAAGGTAAACGCGATGTGAAACTTTATGCGATATTTTCTAAGGAACATTAAAATTGTTTCCATTCTGATATTACTGAAATGGAAATAAATTGTTTAATAATGCAATTATTTTAATGTATTGTAGCATTCAGTGTTTACATAATTTAATAATAATAAATAAAAAGTGATTAAATAATTATCAAAATACTATAAGATTGTTAAGTTCAAGAAAAAACATAATTGCTCAACATAATTAATAAGTTTTTTCTCTATGATAAGGCAGGTGTAAAACTGCTATTTTCAAACTTGTTTATTATCAGGTACAAAATACACATCTTCTGATAACGCACACGTGGGCACACTCGCGTTCTAAAATGATATCAATATGTGTTATATATCGAAACCTCTTTGTTTGGAAATCCTCTTTTTAAATAATCAAATTTGATTAGCACTTTTGAGGCTTGCTGTTTTTTTTTCTAGAATCAACTCCTTAAAATTACGAAAACGTACATAATACAAATGCATTTCTTTAGTTAGCGAATCACTTATAAATGTTTGGGCTTATTTCTAATTCGTTTTCCAACTTCATCACTTCATCTGCTATTTCATTTTCCATCATTATAGAATACAACTTCTTCTCCAATTTCTTCTATTCTACTCTTCATTTACTCCTTTTATCTTCTAACATCTGCATCTTGATCATCAAGTAAATTCTTCCACCAATTTTATTAATATAGTGCTTTTGGGCAAAAACATACAATTAAATTTGCCATCTTTCTGATTTACACCGTAAGATATATTCAAATAGATGACCAAGTGGGTTATCTAACAGCAATGAACAATTTACGTTTGGTGGTATTTTAAGCTTGACCTCCTGAAATGCCTTGTCTAAATAATATAAATTCTTAAAAAAACGATATATCTGTTTTTGCTGCGAACATTGAATTCTGTAAAACATTTCCAATTTAATATCTATAACAATCTATATTTAATCTTTCAATAGCCTACATAACCATAGTGAGTTGCTAATTGTGATACATTTTCTCCCTTAATCTCTATACACTTTGGGATATTAACGAGGTCTTCTTTAATTTTTCAACGTTTATGTTACCCATTCAGTGTATTAAGTACCGCTTCAATTTTGGCATATTAAGTTTGGTCATATCCGTAGTATCTGCTAATTGAGATAAATTATGCATTAGTCCTTGATTACACAGGACTTATCAAGTTATCCTTCTAGGTTGGCTTCGATCAACTTTTCCAGCAAGCCATTTTGAAAAACGGTGTCGTAACCTTTTTTGACATTTAATAGGGCTGTAATAATCTGCCGTTTCTTCTTCTGAACAAATTCCAATTGTGATAGCGCGATTCGCAGTTTGCTGTACTTCTTCTCAACGTTCCCTGAATCCAAATTCAGGCTTTGATAATACTTTGATGTCTTACAATTCGACTTCTTTTTGTAGTAACTTTAGCAGAATTATACCCCTTATATTCAATAACCCGAGCAATAGTCATGGTAGTTGGGTTTTCTGATTTTGAAATTGCAATCTTGTAGTATCGAGAAATATCTTCTATGCTTCGCAAATGGTGCTTTTTCTTTAGCTGTTATACACTCTCTGATTTTATGTTTCGCCTTTCAATTAACGGTGCAGAATTTCTTAAAAAAGATAAAATTACAGTACTCTACTGGTTTTATTATCCATTCTTTTAGCCATTGCCCATGTTTTACAGTGCGTTCTGTGTAGGCTCTCGTTTACTGACTCCTGATTTGAATTCTCATAAACGGTAATTAATATCAAGCGATTACTAAGTTTAGAAAAAAATAAACTCAATCCTGAAATAGGATTCTATATTAGACCTTATATGTATTATAATTCAAGTCAATTTTGAACTCCTTATCAATCTGTCTGATTTGTTAAAAAGTTTTTCTAATGAAACGATTGAGTCTTTAACAACATCTTCTATGGATTTTCAAACAAAAGAAAAGAGTTTCGAAAGGTAGTCAGATATAAACGTTTTTTTAAGGATTTTATACGATATTGTAATCGAGTTTATTCTTACGTAATAAACTTGATTAAGATGGTAAACCGGTACTGATGACCATCTTGAAAATATTTTAGATCGAAGTATCGGGATAAACATATAAACAATATTTCAAAAGCGTAGGTACTATGGAACCAAAAAAAAAACAGGGTGTTGCTGATCTTTTGACGGAGACTATATATTGCGATTACATTCAGTCTATGTAATGTAATGTAATATATTGTGATCTACAGATTACATAAAATTTCTGGTGTATTGAAATGACTTTTATAAAATTAGTGTTCACTCCGATTGTTGCAAAAGTCATTTAGAGGGAACGTTTCATCATTAGTGGTCTCATTTTCATTTTCGTTTCGGTCAGTATGTCCATTAGTATTAGTTGTGTTTTGTTTTTTTTTACATTTTTTTATGTAACAAACTGCAATAACAAAAGCTAAAAGTATTGCCAATGAAATAGACAATGTGACAATAGTAACAATCAATTTAGTGGAAATGCGTGAGTTTGTTACAGGTTGGATTGTGCTTGATTCGGATGCCTTGTCTATCGTGATAATGGAATCATCATCTGTCATTTTGTGTCGGGTTGACGTGTTTACATCTGTAGGGTGCTCACTCCGTCGCTTATTATTATATGGGCAAGTGTCCACTTCTTCTATCATCTTATCAAGTTCTAAGGAATGTCTGCATAAATTGCTTGGTGCGATTTCATTACAAGTGCCAACATCCAGAAAATCGATTATAAATTCTTGAGGAAAGAGATGTTTAAATACATTAGAAATATACTCATTTGGCAACCACCCATATTCTGAATTACGTCTTTTTAATTCTGAGAAAGCCAGTTTAACATCTCTAACTAATTCTTTTTTAGTTACAATTCCTCCATAGGGAGTTATAGATAAATAACATTCATCATCTATTTTATCAAAGTCGATGAAATCAAGTAAAGTATTATTCTTGCACAATACTTTTATACCTTCCTTAACTGTAAGATGGAAATATAATACATACAGGTTTTAACATGAAATAAAAGATTTCTAGTGCTTACTTTTAAAGTTGGTGTCTATCTTGATTACGGCAAACTGCCCAGCTGAGTCATTTAAGCACTCCAATGCACCATGACTAGTTGCATACTTGTTTACGGTTTGGTTAGCATTACAATTTACAGCCGCTGAAACGTTATTGTTATCTTTTCAATTAAAAAAAAAGCTTAAAAGGAGCTTTTAACTTACTCGGTGAGTCCGAAGAACCTTCACAAATCCTACAAACATGTTCAACGTCAACAGAGTCATTCCTCTTTCGCAAACCGTCTCTCACACCAGGCATGCAAGAATCACCAAGAAATTTACTCAGCTCTACATCATAAGTACAATTAGGCGTATTCAGAATTTGAGTTTTGTAAGCTGATACAAAAGAGACCCAATCTGAAATACAAAGAGACATTTTTATATTCTTTTAAGAAATATGTTTGAGGAGATACCTATAGAACCATATTCAGAAAAGCAACCTTTCTTATTTTTAAAATCATCAATACTTTTAATGATGCTTGAATTAACGAAAAGAATTGATTTAATTACGTTTTGGCCAGTATTTGCATAAACAGCTACCTTAAGATTTGATCTAAAATTATATAGAGAATTTCATGTTATAAAGAGAGTTATCAATATATGTTAGAATACCTATTAGCTGCAAAGAGTTGATCACTGTGTAGATATGTTACAGTTGATCTTCCTTCAGATATACTTTTAATACAGCTGTATTTGTCCAAATAGTCTTCTTCAGCTTTTACACAAGTAATTTTTGTATGTATATCATATGATGAAAATATTTTTTGTAGTAACACACAATCCTCATCTTCTTCTTTACTTATTGTGCACCAAGATAATATTCTCTTTTGTTTTGCTTGTGTAATATCATTAGAGGGGTTTAAAGTCACATTTTCATGCAATTCTTCAATATAATTTAATAAGGAAGTACTATTTGGAAATGGTGAAAAGTATTTTAATGCTTGTACGATCTCTGGAAGACGTTCACTATTATTTCTGAAAAATGGTCGCTATAAAATGGAAGTTATTTGCAACAGTGTAAATTACTTATTTCCAATGAGAACAGGCCAAGAAGTAGTTCTCCAAAGACATGGATTGTTCAATTTTTGCCGTGTATTATTTTTACAAAATGAAAAAAATTCTTTTGATCGTGACAACATTTCTTCTTCAAACATATGTACCATTTCCAAAGATGTTATAGCTATGTCTCCGTCTCCATTTATTAAACATCGTAAAGATTGTTCGAACGCATTGTATTCGGGTTTGTAGCGAGGACATAAAGCGAAAAGTTTCGGATATAATTTTTCTAAAAATAAAGAATTAATTTTTGTTGTTTTTATGAACTCAAAATAAAATTAAAATTACTTAAATTTTCATCATAACTCCAAACATTCTGTAAACATGATGGTCCTAGAGTCGAATTTAAAACGTAGTAACTATAGTCTAATAGAGTTTCGTTTTCAAGTATATTTCTAAAATTTTTTTGATAATTTAAAATTGTTGTGATAAATTCGTTTGTAACCCATGGAGGGCTTGTAACATCTCCACCCGGATGGCAATATTTTAATTGCTTTAGATTTGTTAGGTTTACATCTTCCGTTGTTATAACCACCGTACTTTGACTTTTATCAAACGCTTAAATGTAAGTATGTATTGATTATAAGTTATATTAAAGAGGATTTTATAAAGCTACAGCATTAATAACAAAACTTACAATTTTCATTTAATTTAAACTCTCCAAAAACATAAATATCGTCCGAATTAACCAGAAATAGTTCGTTTGGTGAACTAATCGTGAACATTTTGGATCCATTTTTAATACTGTTTATGCAATCGAAAGTATTCCCTCTTAGATAACTATTATTTGAAGTTGTGAGCTCAGAGAATGATCTATATTGATGAGTCACGCATAATGCTAAGAAATTAAAACTGTTATAATGTTTGAATCCTAATTGTATAATACGTACCATTGTCTTCTGCATTTACGCTTATTATAAATAAAAATAAAAATATTATCATTTCTTATAGTATATTTAATTTTAATGCTGGTATTGCTGGCAGTGCACCAATTTGTACTGCACTATGAAGCAAACACATTTCAATAAATTGTGTGTAATCTTATCATTTTATAATTGATATAAATAATCTTGAAAAAAAAATGTTACAGGCAATGCAATTTTTGTTGCGTAAGATAGTAAAAACCTCAACAGTCGCTACTTTAACTTAATCAAAAATTAAGAGGAATTACAAGAAATTTTGAAACACCACATTAATATGTTTGCTTTAGTATGGGGTAAACGTAAACGGCGGAAATAGTTGTTTAATCGATCAGTAACGAAGTAGTAACAATATGACTCGTGAACCACTCAAGGTGGGTTATTACATGGGAATGGATGTTGGGCTAAACAATTTCACTAGCATTACTGAAGAAACAAAATTATTACGAAGTCGACACTCTTCATGTTTTGTGATTCCTGATAAGACGAATGTCTTTATTCGGGTACAATATACCGTACAGTTTATTTTAATTTGAATTGTTGTGTCTAATACGTTTTTGGAGATTTATTGAGGTGGTACAAAAATTTCTCATAAAACGATCTTCCAATATGTTAAATTCCTTTGGCAGCACATTCTTTCGAGAAATACTATTCACAAATATTAGGATTTTTAGATTTTGTGTTCATATCTTTTATTTTTCCAACTCCGAAAACTTTATTAATTGTTGATTCCATGCTACTGATAACATTGGTAACTTGTGTCTAATGTTTCCAAAATCTGCGCCGATTGTAATGTCGATGGAAGAAGAAGTGTTGCCATAAAATTTACAATCACGGCCAGTGTTTATAAGAAAAAATCATTAAACTATAATAGAGCATAGATTACAAAAAATAAAACAACTACTTCGCCAACGTAATGAAGTATACAGTGGGTTTATTAGAGACACGTGTAATACATAATCGATAATCATAAACCTGTAACAACTATAATTTATTGAACAACTAAATAATTCAATTTTCTTTTATTTTATCAATCAACGATAAGTAAGATATGAGATTTCGTGATCGTAAAACAAAATAAAGTTATCTTTATAAACACGTTATAGACACGGAGCCACAGAACAGACTATTTGTGGCAAAAATCAAACCACTTCAGTTTAGATATATGCGATAAAGATTGTTTATTAACTAACTAAATATTATTGCGTAACGTTTCTGAATTAAAATACAATTTAAAATTTTGAGTTCATGCTTCAAAAACATTCAAATTTGAACATACTTGTATATAAAATAAAATATTTCGTATTTCAAATAGTTTAGTAATAATTATAAATATAATACAATTTAAAACAGTCTATTTTGCAGATTCTTTCCTGCATTGTCTTATAATGGACATAATCACATACAAAGATGTTTCAATTTATTTTGTAAATAAAGTAAGTAATAAAAAAACGGAGGAAGAAAATAAGGTCCACATATATTTCGAATATTTTAAAATTTTCAGTCTACAACATTAACAAATTATCCAAAGCTTTGGCGATAAAAGAAAAAAATGTCAGAGTGTTGTCAGACTTCTAGTGATGTGAGAGTGTGAACGGTGAAAAGAATAACTACAAATGTAAAAGTAGAGCAGATTATTCTTCTTTCTCTTACACCTGCTGGTCTGTTAATTTTGAAGTCGTTGTCAGAGGACCTCAAGGGAGGTAGACTGCTAGCTGTCCTGCCATCTTATTGAAGATCTTCCTGGGCTACTCAATCCACGAAACTCTTGCACCAGGCGGAAGAAAAGTAGGGGTATTGTAGAAACAAAGAATGTTCTTCTAATAATGTTACCATCGGCTAAGTTTATGAAGATTGCTGATAGCATTAAGAAAAAGTTAGGACCGCAAGCTGCAAATACTATTTTTACCAAGAAATTTAATTTGGAATTGTTTGAAGATTGGTTTGTTAATTATAATTTACTAGTCATAGGATTGAAGAATTCGTTATTAACAGATTTATGGTTAGGGATATTTTTTATTCCAAAGTCAATAACAGATATTGCAGAAGATAATCTTCTTTAGTTTTTATAAAAAATCATTTATTCATTTATTGACGTATCTTAAATTAATTTTATTTTTATTTACGAGCGTGTACTAAAAATAATAAAATTACAAATAAAAATAACAAAAGTAATAATTTAATTACTTAAATTATTTTGAGTTTGATGGGTATTGAAATTATTTTTAATTTTGCCTATTTAAAGGATCATTTTCAGTCTCATTTCCATTCACTTCTCCATTATCACTTTCATCTTGTGTTTTGTGCTGCGTTTCATTCGTATTGTCGTTGTCGTTTCCATTATTTTTGTATTTTTGATATACTTTGTAACCAGCTGCCGCGCCCAATAAAACAAGAAAAAGAAGCACTATTCCTACTATCATACCGATGGAATCACCTTGCCTGGCTTCAGGTTTATTATTCAAGCAAGAATCCGCTTCTTCTATCATATTATCAAGTTCTAAGGTATGTTTGCAAAAAGCGCTTTGTACGGTTTTGGTACAAGATTCAACAGAGACCAATTCTGTTATTAATTTTACAGGAAAAAGATTCGTAAATAAATTAGAAATATATTCACGTGGCAACCACCCATATTGCAAATTGCGTGATTTCAATTCTGAAAATGCTAATTTAACTTCTCCATCCAATCCTTCCTTGGTAACAATTCCCCCATATGGTGTTATCGATAAATAACATTCATCATCAATTTTATTGAAGTCGAGTAAAGTTCCATTCTTGCACATTACTTTTACTCCTTGTGCAATTTCATTAGAGGAGACTAAGATAAAATAACATATACTTATAGTATAAGAGATAAAATTTTAGATGCTTACTATTAAAATTGTTATCTATCCTAACGACTGCAAATTGACCAACTAATTTCTTTAAACAATCCATTGCACCATTACTAGTTGCAAAAATATTTACGTTTTGATCCGCATTACAGTTCACGGCCGCTTAAATATAAAAATTTCTTTTCAAATGTGGATAAAATAAAAGGAGCTTTTAACTTACTCGGAGAGTTTGAAGAAGCTTCACAAATCCTACAAACATGTTCAACATCAACAGAGTCTTTCCTCTTTCGCAAATCGTCTCTCACACCAGGCATGCAAGAATCACCAAGAAATTTACTCAGCTCTTCATCATAAAAACACGATGTTTTAAGGATTTGAGTTTTGTAAGCTGATACAAAAGAGACCCAATCTGAAATACAAAATCAGGAGTCATTTTTATTTTCTTTTAAGAAATATGTTTTAGGAGATACCTATAGAACCATATTCAGAAAAGCAACCTTTCTTATTTTTAAGATCATCAATACTTTTAATGATGCTTGAATTAACGAAGAGAATTGATTTAATTACGTTTTGGCCAGCATTTGCATAAACAGCTACTTTAAGGTTTGTTCTAAAATAATTTGAAAAATTTCATATTACCAAGATTTTTAATAAATTTATATTAGAATACCTTTTAGCTGTGAAGAGTTGATCACTGTGTAGGAATGTTACACTAGAAATTCCTTTATTTATATTATTAATGCATTCATATTTGTCCAAGTAGTCTGCTTCAGCTTTTACACAAGATGTAATTTTTATATGTATATCGTATGATGAAAATATTTTTTGGAGTAACACACAATCTTCATATTCTTCTTTAGTTAAGGTGCACCAAGATAATATTTTCTTTTGTTTTGTAGAAAAAGTAATATCATTAGAAGGGTAGAAAGTAGCGTTTTCATTAAATCCTTTAATATAATTTGATAAGGAAATGCTATTTGGAAAAGGTGAAAAGTATTTTAATGCTTGTACGATCTCTGGAAGACGTTCACTATTATTTCTGAAAAATGGTCGCTATAAAATTGAAAGTTATTTTGTAACAGTGTAAATTACTTATTTCCAATGAGAACAGGCCAAGTAGTAGTCCTCCAAAGACATGGATTATTCAATTTTTGCCGTGTATTATTTTTACAAAATGAAAAAAATTCTCTTGATCGTGACAATATTTCTTGCTCAAGTTCATGCACTATTTCCAAAGATGTTACAGCTATGTCTCCGTCTCCATTTATTAAACATCGTAAAGATTGTTCAAACGCATTGTATTCATGTTTGTAGCGAGGACATAATGCGAAAAGTTTCGGATATAATTTTTCTAAAAATGTAGAATTAATTTTTGGTTGTTTTATGAACTCAAAATTGACGTAAAATTACTTAAATTTTCATCATCACTCCAAACATTCTGTAAACATGACGGTCCTAGAGTCGAATTTAAAAGGATGTAACTATTGTCAAATAGAGTGTTGTTCATAAGTATATTTTTATCATTTTTTTGATAATTTAAAATTGTTGTGATAAATTCGTTTGTAACCCATGGAGGGGTTGTAACATTTCCACCCGGATGACAATATTTTAATTGCTTTAGATTTGTTAGATTTATATCTTCGGTTGTTATCACCACCGTGCTTTGACTTTTATCAAATGCTTCAAAACAAACATATATTAATCATAAAATTTATATAAATGCTGATCTCATCATGATAAGAATTACCATTTTCATTTAACCTGATTTCTCCAAAAACATAAAAATCATCTTGATTTAACAAAAATAGTTCATTTGGTGAACTAATCGTGAACATTTCAGATCCATTATTGATATTGCTCATGCAATCCAAAGTATTTTCTTTTAAAAGCCAATTATTTGCAATTGTGAGGTTATAGAACGTTCGAGATTGATGAGTCACACATACAACTAAAGAATTTGTATTATTATTGTTGTAAAAATATTTATATCTTAAACTTAAAATACATACGATTGTCTTCAGCTTTTACAGTTACTGTAAATAACAAAAATAACAATATTTTTCTTATGTAAAAGATGTAGGAATACATCTTAAACATCGTGCAGCTCACACTTCACTTTCATGTCAGGACTACGTATATCAAGATAAAGCGAACGTTATCATCTTTAATGATAACGTCAAGGTAACAAAATTTATAAACTTAAAGATCAGTGTAATTATTATTATAAAATTAAATTGTTTGTTGTGAAATTTTATATGGTAGGGAGACATCCTAAAATGATCACGTTCCCCTAATATTAATAATTCACCTCGGTCCGGCGTAATCTAAATAATACTCCCACCAAACTGGGCAATGTTCATCCAATATTCATACTCGTCTCGCAATATTGCATTTCGTACAACGATGGCGTCGCTACACGAAGAGGGCGAACAATAACAATGGCCCGTCTGCATTAAATTTGCATCAGCGGGTGAAAACTAGACAGGTATGCCGCGGAATAAATGTCATTAGGCGCGCCGAGCGAGATTGAATTTTCAGCGCACACGACCGGAAGCTAGTCAGGGATACAGGCCTTGGCCACATTATTTGGACACGTTGAGCTCGTTTGTTGTTGCTTATGCCTTACTCACTTCTAGTTTTCTCAATTTTCCACCGTAATGTTTACCCGTTGTTATCATTTTTCGATTGATAAACATGTGTGCAAGTTTTATACGTTAATGAACTAAAATGTACCCGAATAAACACGTAACAATTAATCTAGATTCCACCTTAATGTTACATAGAATTATATAATAATGAAGATCTAGTTACAGAAAAGAATTCTTTTCTTCAAAACTGTTAGAAGAGTGTTGCGAACAGTACAAGAAATGTGCAGATTAAACATGAACATTATCGGTATTGCTGAACACCGATAATTAGAGATTGAACTGGTTACAATCCCTAATGGCTATTTTTATCCCACTACTTAGGGACAGAGCTTTTGAATAATGTTAGCTCATCAGCTGATACCTTAAAAATTTCCCTTCAAATAATTCATGAAATGTGAAAGGAACATAGGTAATTCCCAGTTTGGCTTCAGACAGGAAATGGGAACAAGAGAAGTGATAACGACCGTTAACGTATTAGTTCAGAACTGTAACGACGTACGGAAAGTCATATCTTCCACGACAACGAAACAGCATTTGACCAAGTTGAACATCACAAAATTAAGCAGTTTTTCAAAAACCTAAGTATAGACCAGAAGAACCATAGATGTATAGAAAACTTTTAGTCGTATCAGATTCACGAGGAAAATTCGACAATAATCTTTCCAACAGCATTCAGATCAGAAGGGGAGTACGCCAGGGATGCGTCCTGTTTGAGAAGCTCTTGATGCTAAGGTTGGTGTTAAAGTTAATGGAGTTTGGATTAACATTATCCTATACACCGATGACGCGATCTTGGTTGCTAACAACTTGGATGGGTTACAACGGTTAGTCGATATAGTGGGAAAAAGTAGCAGATAATGGGCACGAACATAAAAATTAAAAAGACCAAATTCATAATAACGATTATAACAAGGAATCTTGGCGAAATCGAAGATGCCGAACTAACAAGTGGGAACATGGCTGTCTAAAAACTGTTCAACGAACAACGAAATTAAAAGTAGCATAGAACAAGCTAGGCAGGTATATCAAAAATTCAGAAGCGTATTTAGCTGCTCAGACTTTGATCTAAATTTGAGCTTTAGGTTCGTGAAATGTTACGTAAACAAATGCAATAAACACACTGTAACACGAAAATGTCGAAAACATCTGTTAAATTTCCATAAAACACGTTTTATGAGCTTTTCTTTTATAATTTTTCAGTTGACAATCTCTTTTTCAAGACCAGCAGTAATCTGCCATCATGTGACAATCCCATCAACCCTGATAGCTTTCCTCCATCACTTTTAGATCTTAATTAGATTAATTTAGATCTTAAATTATCCCAAAATTTATCCAGATGATTGCAGAGATAGTGTAACTTGATGCTCATATTTGCTCCTAGAGTCTGAAAGTTTGTCAGCATATTTTGTACAATTTCTCCATAATTTGGTGTTTTATGGTTACCTAGGAAATTTTCGACTACCAACACAAAACTTTTCCAAGCTTTACTCTCCGGAACAGTCATAACTTTAATAAAATCTGTGTCTCTCATCAATTGCCGTATTTGAGGATCATCAAATATTCCACGTCTCAACTTTTCCATACTAATCTTCGAAAATGTTCTAAAAATATAATTAAAACAATCTCCTTCCTTGTCCAACGCTTTTAGAAATTGCTTTATCATTCCTAACTTAATATGTAATGGTGGAAGTATGATTTTGTCTCTGCTCACCAACTGCTCACTCTGGCGCCCTTATTACATTGGCTTTACCGACAGTTAAAGATTGTAAGAACAGGCCAAACATCTTGTTCCCAATGAAGTTGCTTTGCTTTACTGTCCCACATAGAAATGAAGCAAGGGTATTTCGTGTATCCAGTTTGTTGACCAAGTAAAAAATTAACCATTTTCAAATCCACACAGAATTGATGCAAATTTATTTCCATTGTGCAATAAGACGCATTTAAAACTTCTTTTACAACTGTAAATAAAAAGACGCCACTCAGTAGGTTGGTATTCTTTTAAACCTGTGTGTAGAAGCAGCTTCGGGATATTATTACAGTACACCAGTCCTTCATTACCACTAAAAAATTGTAATAACTCACTTTCTCGCGTTCTGTATGTTGTAATTGTTACTGTTGGAGCCAATAAATTTTTTTCTTTCAATCTTGAAGCTAACAGTTCTGATCCTTGTTTGGATAAATTGAGATCACGTATTAAATCACTGAGTTCATTTTGAGAAAATAACTTCGGCGTAGATGTTTCACTTCCACTGGTAGACTGTCCCGATTTCTGTGAATTTGGTAACATCATTGTTTCTGAGGGCATGCGAATTACTTTTGAAACGTAAATAGTTCAAGGGAGATTTTCACTGTGTAGAACAGAACATTTTCTAGACTATAAGTCTGGATATCTCCAGGTTTGATTTCGATTAAAACCTTCAACATCTACTACGCAAAAGTAACAATCAGGGAAATGATTCTTGCGCTCCATCCACATCACAGGAATACCAAAGTCTAATCCAGAACGTTCTCCTTTTTTTCACAACCGTAAAGATTCAACACAGGACTTACAAACTTTATGAGGAACCCATGATTTATCTAGTTTGTCCATTTTAAAACCGAAATATTCAGCATAAATCTCCTCGAGAAAATCTGTGATATTTCTTTTTTGTTTTTTTGTTATATAAACACAGTAAATATAACAAAATAAATCACTACTATATTTACACTTTCTTCGTGACGAACTCATGTTTTCAAAGACAAAACAAATATATTAGAATGGACATTCAGTAATTGAAACAAAATATTAACGCATGACAACTTATCCAGATTCACTTGTAAGTACTTCAATATTGTCAAATAACTGTGATCACAGCTGTTCTGCGGAGCAAGGGGTCTGAGAGTGGGGATCATGTGATGTTTGTATGCGCGAATAAGTTGCGCAAAAGCCTAATCATGACTGGGAAAATAAATTTTATTACTAGCAAGCTGATAATTGTTCAAAATATACGATATGTAAAAATCATAAAAAACAAGAGCACATTCAATACTTTCATGAATATATTCGTAATCTGAGCACTTGAAAATATAAAAATTTGCAAAGATATCCAGGGCAACAAAAGAAAATTTTTTTTGTGTAATTCATACTTCGAGGAAGAAGCATTGCAAGAAGAAAAAGAACTTGCTTTTGAATTTTACATTTATTACTATATTATTAGCATAATATCAGTATTTTATTAGTAATATCCATAATGTACAAATTTAATATCATTTATTGTAACAAATTTAATGACTGATGAAATTATTCTGTTATTAATGTTACTTGTTAGTAGTTAAAGAAGAGGATTACTTCATATAAACGCGATTTAATTCTTAATTATAAGCATTACACAATGAAGAAGAGTAAATATTATATCAATTTATATTTTTTGTATTAATACTTTTGTAGTGTACAAAATACACAAAAAAACTATGCAACATCGGCTTTTCTCAATAAAATATGTATACATATAACTTTTATATTTTAACACAAGCCTATAAATTACATAAAGTTAATGCGAAACTATAACATGTTTTTTTATACAGCACATAAAAAAAGCGAACAAAATATACAATTTTAACAAAAATACATATTTGAAAGATAAAAATGTAAACTTTCCTATATTCATTAGTCCACAATCGAAGCTTAGGTAAGAGAAAACTACTATCCAAATCTCTGGATTTATTATATGTACTTCTAAATATAACTCGACCTAATCTTTTAAGAATATAATCTTTTAGTTAATAAAGCAAATAGACCTAATATGCTCATGATTAGGTTTCAACGTTGAGATAAGATGAGTAATTCCACATTTTTAATTCTATTTTATCTAATATGCAAAGGTTAAATTTTAATACGTATTGTAATTTTGAATCTTATTAGAAAATCACCCGTGCGACGATAGCAACAAACCTCCCAGCAACAAACTTTTACCCGTAATTTCCTATCTACTTTCTTAGCTGATATCTTCCTTATAATTAGGGATAGCGAAAAACTAAATGCACCACTTGAAAGCTTGAATCTTTTTCTATCTAAAACCGGGTTCGTATCGGATTCGTCTGCCGATAAGTTGATATTAAGATCAAAAAAAAATGAAGAACACCGCGCTGTACTTAAAATAGCTCAAAATTACCAAACTTCAAGGCCTTGTGCAATTGTAACGAAACCGAAATTTAAAAAACTGTTATCACAGTCAGAAAGGGCGCTCCTTCAGCTATGTTAATCCGGGTTTTCGTCGGTCAATATCTATCGGCGTCATGCTTAAATCACCCTTAATGTCCATCCCAACACGCAGAAACGCTTAAATACACTTCCTCTAAACAACTTTCTTATTTGATAGGGAGAAAACTATAGAAACATATCTATCTTATTGAAAATGTTCTGCTCTTTCTAGTGGTGTATAACACGCGGCGATCACGTGCTTGCACACGTACATTTTTAGCCAAAAACTGCTAAATTCACACGTGTTAGCCATTCTTAAACCCTGTTCGGGCCGATAACTTTCTTATATGAGCAGGAGAAAACTCTAGAACCATATCTATCTTTACGG